AATGAAATTTCTTTACCTAATTTCTTCACCACCCGCCAAAATTTATCCCTTTCCATGAGCGTTGTTCACATTCCTGTCAGTGCTCTTCTCCGAGTAATTCCCTACTCTCCATTTCCATTTTATCTCTCCACTCCCCACAAATCCAAATAAAAGTAGAAAATTGAATAAAATTCAATCCTGTAAAATGGATATGTCAGGGATAGCCAAGAAATTGGGCTTTTCTGAATTCAAACAACTCATCCTTCACGCAGCGGAGCTCCGCCGACTGGCCGACATCCAATTTGACTCCTCCATCATCGGCATTGTGAGTTTCTTTCATTTTTCTTTTGTATTTTGAAAACCCATTTCAATTTTACACTCATTTTGACTTTTAGTATTTATTTGTTTGTTTCTCGGATAGGGGGAGATTTGCAAGGCAATAATTTGCTTAGAGATCGCTGCTTCCAGGTACAATTCTTGATTCTTTCCCCTATTTTAGCTTTTCGGTTCAATGATTTTGTTGTAATTGTTATAGGATGGAAGTAATATTTGATCATCACGCTGCAGTAAAATTGAGTGGGTTGTTTGAAAAGGCTTACAATAGATCATTTAATTCAATGCAAAATAGCATTGGTATCAAGTTAGTATTCGTTTTCTTTTTAAAATCTTTGTTATTTCGATAAATGATTTTCTTTGAGTTGCTCATTTTTATTTTTATTTATTTATTTATTTTTGGCTAATAATTTGTAGGAAGAAGCTTCATATAAGAGAGTTGGCAATTCAATTTGGATGTATTAGGCTCATCCCATTTGTCCAGAAAGGATTGTCTTTGTAAGTATGGGACTGCTATCAGTTCTTTTTTGAATTTGAAGGAACATAAATTGATATATTTATCATTCTTGTTTAAGATTCACTAGTAGCATCTTGATTCTACACTAACACTGAGATCTATTACTTAAAGAGTGCTCCTCACTTTTTATCTCATGTTACTGGAAATGTTTGCAACTTTGCATGAAAACATTGATACAGTGATAACAAATATTAATTCTTTTGGGTTTTAGGTATAAGGATCGGTTTATCGCCTCACTGCCACCCTCCCGTAAAGCAAGTACTGACATCATGCGGCCTGTGTTTACTGCTGCAGGATTCTACCTTTGTGCTAAAAGACACAATGTATGCAATATTTCTTTAATGCATGTCAATATTTATGTACACTATGTGTAGATGAAAGCGTGCCCTGATGTTACAATTGATCAGTACATGAAAATTTTGCAGCTTAAGATAGACAAATCTAAGTTGATCGAGCTTGCTGGCACATCAGAATATGAATTTTCTAGTGTAAGATTAGCTATTTGTAATTGAATATTGGGCATGTGTATGAACTGAGAGGAATACTAGAGATCATTTAACGTAATTTCAGGTATCAGCCTCAATGACAGACCTCTGTTTTGATGTTTTTGGGAAAACAAAAGAAAAAAGGGATTCTAAAGAAGATAATGGGAATCATGGTAATTCTTATAATTGTTATTCGTATAATTTGTCTAATTTTTCCATCCTATTTGTAGTTGACAGACTTTTCACCATTTCAAGTTATGCAGTACTTTAACACTGCATAAATAGATAGCATTTATGTTATTAATTAATTGGTTGTACTTTTTCTTCTTCTTGGTCCTTTAACATGCTGAACTTCTAGATGTGCTTCCTGAAAAAAGGAGGGTTGATGACGATGGCCCTTTATCTGATGATGGAGAAGAGGTAAATCATGAGCATGATGTTTTAGCTATTTTGATATAAATTTGCTGACACGTGTATCAGGAAGAGTAAAAAAGAAGCAGAAAAAACTCAATATATGCATGGAATGGTAAGCATGTGTACGTTTGTGAATCGAGAAATTTAGACGCATGGGATCAGTTCAAAGTTCATAATAGCTACGAGCTAGATGTTGATCTCCTTGGACCTCCTACAATCCATCCTGTGGCATATTTTTTATTTATTTTCGTTTTTTGGTTATATGGTCTCATTTCTCCTCTTTGTTGTACAGCCTTTCATTTCCCTCCTTGTTTACCAAAAGTAGTTGAGGTTCAATGTGTTTTAAATACTAGTTAAGCATAATAATTGTAAAAAAATGATGAATTGAGTACTAAGATGTAATTTTATGTAGTGTAGAAGTCTCCTTTATGTACAAACAAAAATACTGTATGTTAGATATAAGAAAAGACATTCAAGAATGTTCTGAAACTCATTCATTCTGTCTGCCCTTCCCTGCTTTCTTTACTTTATTTTACTGTTCTTTTAATTAATTGCTGTAATTACTCTCATAAACACACAAGATTTTGGGACCTACCAGCTAAAACTACTGCCAACAAGAAGCCATGGAAGTCCTTATTTAGCTCCTAAGGTAAATGGCCACCTCAATTTTAGGAAAAGCCATAGATCTCTTTAGTTCTGATGGTAACTAAACAACTATTATTGGATTATGAAAGTTCATTTGCATATTGGTCGCACGGAACTATTTTTCAGATTGCTGAGGCAACAACTAAAAAGTCCATTTGTGTATTATGACGATTTAATTTCGTGCTGTATTGTTTACTACTTAGAACTGCTGCTTGAAGTTTTCTCTGTATTTCTACCCCGTGCAATCTTAGCAATGTTACTGTTAGACATATTATTTCCTTGTTTGAAATCATTTCATCAACAATTTTTAAACAAGTCCTTGACCTAATTATACATGGGGTGCTGTGATATGTTTGCAGCGTTTGGCGTGCATGAAGCGCAAGCAAATGGAGAAACATGTTCTCGAAGAGTAGAAGTCTGAAGTTCTCCAGTCTAATCTCAGCAGGGAAAAAGGTAGTGATGTGTGCTTCCTTCTCCCGTATGCTCATAAGTTCCAGTCGAGAAGCTACTTCATTTCGTTTATATTTGTAATATTGAACTTTACATTGTCTAGGTCCTACCAACTACCAATTGAACCCAACAAACCAGACTGAAGTGCTTGAAGACTGTTGCTGAACCGGAGTGGAGGCTACACAAGAGACATAATCAGACATCATTTCTAGAATAAACCAAAGTGGCAACATAGTAGTGCTCGAAGTTTGGCATTTTGGGATAATGAGAAGATGAATTCTCTTGGAGTGAAGATATCAATAAAAAACAGCATTCTTAAATCGTACTTAATGTAGAAATACATCAATTGCTTATTAAGTTTTCCATTGGTAGATTTATCATTTAGCTGTTTCAAGAAAATTGAGACTATAAATACTTGCTCGACCAGAATGAGTAATGCTGTAAATGGTAAAAATCTTTGTACAGAGCTCATGAATTTTTTGTTAAGATTCACTTTAGACCTCGTTCCTATTTAGTTCAATAGTTAGCCAATTTTGAAGCATTAGTGTAAAATGGTGTTTTCTAAAATCCGAAACACATTTTTTTATAAGTGGAAAACGTTTTCAACCTTGCTGTCCACTTGGCACGCATCCATTGGCTGTCTTTGTCCTATTCGGATTTGTGTTACTTTGGGACTATTCTGGACCATTGTGTTGATCCAACGGCTGAGACTTAATGAGAGTTGTTTTAATCCTTGTATTGGCTGTAGATGTGTGAAGAATTTTCATAATTTCATTCACTTGGTTGAGGCTTTGAGTCTCTGGCGATTTCTTCTCTCTAACCTTCTCAATTCTGTAAATCAAATCTGTGTTCGTTCTTTTTTATAAATCAAATCTTGGCCTTGATTTATGGCCTTTGGTCTGTGGTGCTCTCAAGCTTGTGTTGTGGCTTTAGGTCGGTTTTAAAGCTGTTAAGAATGGTTTTACACTTGTGTCTTGGTCTTGTATCGCATAGGTGCAGATATTGTGATATTTTTTAAAGATCAATGACCTAATTAATTGAGTCAGTGGTCTTATTGTTGTATTCTAAACTTAAACTCTTTTGGACCGTTCTTGCACTAGTGATGGGTTTGGTTTACCTCTGAGCCAAGGACTCTCAAACAACCCTTAATTGTTTAATAGTTAGGTCAAAATAATTGGCCCAAATCTCTCTCTGTTTTTGCTCACTTTTTTTCTTTATTTCTTATACTGTTTATAAATTATTTTCTCATTATGATAATTTTTTTTTGAATTTTGAATAATATCTATATTCTTTATTTAATTTTTTATAATTTCCTTTTGTTTATTTGTTTTGTTTTTATTATTAGTTCTTTTGAAAAAAAAAATTCTTAATTGTTTTCGTCATATTATAAATAAGCTTTTTCAATTTAAAATTCATTTTAATTTTTTTCTTTTTATGATAAAATTTAAATTAAATAATATTTATATTATTTATTTAATTTTTTAAATTTCCTTTTGTTTAATTATTATTATTATTTTTGGAAATAGTTTTAAAATTTCTTAATTATTTACTTCATATTATAAATATTTTTTTCCAATTTAAAATTCTTTTTTAATTCTTTTCTTTATATGATAAAATTTTTTTTTTCAATTTAAATTAAATAATATTCATATTCTTTATTTGATTTTTATAATTTCCTTTTGTTTAATTTTTTTATTCTATTTTTTTGGAAATAGTTTAAATAATATTTATATTCTTTATTTAATTTTGTAATTTCCTTTCTTTTAATTATTATTATTATTATTATTATTATTATTATTATTATTATTATTATTATTATTATTATTATTTGGTTATAATTTAATAAAATTCTTAATTATTTTCATCTTATTATAATTTTTTTTGAATTTAAAATGCTTTTTAATATTCTTGCTATAATTTTTATATTTTTATAATTCTCTTTAATTTATTTTTCCTTCTCTTTTGGTCATTAATTTGCTTTTAATTTAATTTATTATTATTTATTCTTTATTTTTAAAATTTTGTTAATTATTTTCTATTTATCGTAATTTAATTTTTTAGATTTAAATTGCTTTTCTATATTTTTTCTTTAAATTTTATATTTTTTCCTTTAATTTATTTTTTTATTTTGTCTGTAATTCTTTTATATATATATTTTTTATGTTATTCTTCTTTAACTTACTAAATCATTTGTTTTTTTATTAGCGTTGATATAAAATGAGTCTATTTCTTAGTATAATAGTTACAATCCAGTTCATTCAATTTGTTGAAGGTTCTAAAATTTGAATTTTTACAAGATGAAGTACCATCTTGATGCTGAGTTGTGACAGATGGTGAGAAAATAGTTCAAACAGTAACTTTGGGAATTTTACTACTGTATTGGAGTTGCTCGATGATCAGGATGGAGATATGTTAGGCCAACCCTTCATGTGGCCCATGTATCAGTTGAGAGATGTGTAGTACTCTGGGTAGATCAGTGATACATTACTATGTCGGCTGCTTACTTCAGTCAACAGCGATACCCTCCACTTCAATCTCATGGGCAAGGTTGCTAGTTTCTCTATATTTGAATTTTTCTTGATTACTGGATTGAAGATTATGGGCAATGAAGCAGCTAGAGACGGCACTCAAAGTAGTAGTGTGATGTACAACGTGTATTTTCAGGGATAGGGATGGTGCTTCTACCGCAATTAGTTGGCAAAATCGAGGAATGCGACTAGATGTTGAAGCTGGAACTGGTCTATATCCTTGAGAGTGTGGTGTGGTGATCTCACAAAAAGACTATGATCAACCTTTTTCATTGGAAAATTATTGATGACATTGATACCTCCAACAATAATCCGTAAGGTAGAGATATTTTGAGGACATCGTGTACGTCTTCATACATCACATTTGAAGCCTAAGAAATTCTCATGTAAGTACAATACTTATAGATTACCTCGGCTGTGTCAGTAAATATTTAACATAATCAATGTTAAAATAATTTTTTATAATAAATTTATGTATAATAATTGTATATGTTGCAAATATGTGCATATAAGACTGTCCCTATCTTGGGTAGGCGAGAGGAGACATGCTCACCTCAGATGCATCATTAGCAAGCAGCAGACGTTTGTTCATCTGGTAAACAATTATCAACTCTTCTCGACAACCCTCATGTATGTATTATATATTTGCGATTTATATTGTATATCGTTTCAAAATCTTCTCGACAATCCTCATGGCAAGAGGTTGAGATTGCTGTTATAGTATGTCATTTCTCCCTTGATAGTTGAGGCGAAAAGGAGGACGTTCGTAGACTAGACATACTCCAATCTCTTCCGAAATGTAGACCCAACTAAGTGAAAAGCGTTTGAAACAAAGGGGAGAAGAATTATACTCGGGTAAGTATTTTATGATTTTAGGAAAGTGGCTAACTCATATATAATTCTTTTAACATTTATTCTTTTCCTTTTTTAAGAGCTAGCTAGACGAAAGCTCAAAGGACAATCTCGGACACTAAGTGGTTTCATGATATCCTCACTTCGACAGCTTGGCTCACCGACGATGTAAGTATAATATTGTAATTGCTATTTATTATGTATACGTAATTTGTTGTTTATTAAATTAAATAACTCTATTTTTTATTGGTGTTTCTTGATATAGCACAGTGACCTAACTTTGGACTTGTTGCGTAATAGGGCTCGAAGATATTCGAGATCATTTTGACATTTCGAGTTGAGTCATATTGAGGACCGAGTTTCTATTTGCCATTAATATTAAATAATAGTCAATCCAACCTATGGGAAATGAGTATACGGTGCTTAAATACATGCTCGAGTGGGTCATATGGATGTGGTCGAGTGTCGGAGAAAGCCATGTACGGGTTGTAAGTATATGTACATTCCAGAGAGTGTGAATCATCACTGCTTTGTCATGGATATTGTCTTTACTGATTTCACTATATATGTGTACCAATCCGATCATATCTTTCTAAAAAAGGGTCAGCTCAAGCATATACTAAAACCAGTGGTTGTGATCATTCATTTGATAGCTAGACAAGAAATAATTGTGCAAGATAGAGTAGTCATCATGCGGGACAAAACGACAATGAGACGATCGAAATCATAAGTATTTATTAATTTATTAATTTAGTTTTTAGCTAGACGTTATCGAGCTAACACGTTATTATTTAATTATAGAGGTGATTGTGGCATATTCACAATCAAGTATATTGAATTTTTTAGTATAATACATAAGGTTGATATAATCATTCAATCCTAAATAGACAATTGGAGGAAAAAGTTAGTGTGCAATTTGTATGAATTCAATTGTGATCCATAAATAGTGTATCTTGTTCTATTTGAAAATATAAATATCAATTATTTAATTTAAAATCGATGTATATTGTTTATTAAAAAAATGTAAATATTGTTCATTTAGTTATTAATTTAATTGTGATCCGTAATAAATTGTATATTATTTTAACTGTATAAAAACAAAGTATGAGGACCTAATTGCAGCTTTCTAATAGTTGACTATGAACATGAAAATGTGGTCGAAGATTAACATTGATAGATTACACACCAATCAAATTGTCATTTAGGGGAATTTGACTTGTACAAAACTGTGAGTATGCTCTATTACTTTGCACCTGTTGTACCTTCGTGGTCAAGGAAACTCTTCGATAGATGATATTTTAGATGTTTGTAGACATCCAAGACCACGCAATTCAAATTTGGGTGGCAACAAATTATTAATTGGGAGAACATGGTCAGAAACTTTCCACTCGATTTCATTCGGTAGAGGAAATATAGCTTCAACATACATGCTCACCATAATCAATCATGTAATAAAGAGAGCATAATGTTCTTGTTGTACAGCCTCTACAATAGCTACTGCAACTGCATAATCACATAAAAAACTCTCAGCTGAAATCAACTACAAGTACAGTTGTTATAAGACAGGTCCACCATATATGTCATATTATGTGAATATTTCACGAGAAAGCGCAATTTATCCAGTGGTTCCGCATTCAACTTTCTCGTAACCTCTGCAATCTCGATGAGTTAATCCTCCTGAGCCGGGGTTAGCACGCTCGTGCAATTCTGTAATTTCGCACGTTGATCGTGAGACCACTGCTACAGCTTGTTATGAATGTTTATTGCAAGGATTGGTAACACTCAACCATTCTTAAATAATACATTGAAAGACTCCATATTGTTTAATATTATCATGTTGTATCAACGTTTTGAAAAATGTGACTGCGCTCAACGTTCAATTCCCATTTTTTGTAAGATAATCCATCACTGGGATTGATTTACTTCTTATTTTGGCCATGAACTTATTATAATCTTCAACGCTGTAAGCTTTTGCGACTCTCCTAAACAATGAAACGATGTATTTGCCTCAATACCTAGTTTTCAGGTTGATTTGTATATGGTACATGTAATACTCATGATGTGCCTTGAGAAAAACTTTAGTGATATCATTTATTATAGACCGTCCCCGATCAGTTACAAAGGTAAGGTCCTTGACCTTCCCAATTACTTCTCTCAACTTTATGAATAACCAATGCATTGACAGATCATTCTTGCTATCTACTATGCCGAATACAAGAGGGTAAATTTGGATGTTGGGATCTTGACATGTAGTGATAATCAACTTGCCTTCATGTTTAGCTTTTAGACTTATACTATCGATTAGAATTAAGGGTCGCATCTCCTTTCAAAATTTATGAATGCATTATCCAAGAGCCATGAAGAAAAGCATGAAGCAATTTTTGCCATTCGTCTCAATAAAAAGGTCGAACCAGGATTATTTGTCCGAATGTTATGGCATAACTCTCATCGATGGAGCCCATTAAATCCTCCACGGCGCATTCTTTGGCCTTCTAGACCTTCTGGTCGCTCACGATCACTCAGTACTCTCAATGAAAGTTGTTAATGATGTCCGAAGGTCATTAGATCGTCCATGAATTCTGATACTTGTATATTATCTATCGATCAATAAATCATGTTCGAGCTTGCCTGTAATCATTTCAATAAATTCCCACTTCGCTAGTATGTTTCTATGTATACTTGCAAACTACAAATAACTCATTTGTATGCATCTTCATCGTTCACAAATACCAACGACAACTATCATCGATGCAGACAATTGTCAACAATGACTTAGTTGATTTCTTTACTCTGAACTCAAAGTTGTATTTCAATACCGTTTGGTGTACAGTTTCCTGAAAATCTTTCTTTGTTTTAAACTGTTGCTCGACATGCAAATTCTCATAATCGGGAATCACACGCGAAGAATTAGAGGACGATCCACTCGATCCAGCCCTCGAACTTCCACCCTGCTCATATCTCCAACGAGATACAGCAATCAAATTTTCATTGGTAAATTCATTTTCATTCTTGTTGGTGTGAACTACAGAGAAAATTTTGTTCGTAACAATAATATCACGATGAAAACAATTGTCTTGGGAATAACCTCATCATCCTTACAGGCTATCTCCACCATGTCCCGAAAATCATTGGCATTGTGATCCCCCTCCATTCAAATCTTCTATTCCCCTTCGACGACATTTTTTCTCACTAAAATCACGCAAAAAAGAGTCATGTGCAATTTGTTCAATTTACATAATTCGCTTTTGGCATTAGAAATAACCTTTATAGGTAGATCAGAATGGGTGAATGCTCATTGAATAACAATCTCAGTTTAATATCGTACTGAGAGGTATCGACTTTAGTTTGTTTTGTAAATCATGATACATCTTCATGTATAATGTAGCAGATGTTATAAAAATGGAAATATCATCATGTTTATTATTCTTACAATTCCAAACACGTCGATCTTTTTTATCCCATTCAAAATCACCAAAACAACAAATCGGGATTACAATCATATATGCATGACGAAACAGAAATTTTAATTATATATAAAGTAGTTGGGAAATCGGCCCAGACCAATGCAACGGAATTTTTAATTAAAAAGAGTTGAATTGATTGAGCCGACTGTTAGGTCTGACTGTTAATAGCTTACTGGGTGACTGTTAGCAGTTGGTCTAATCCCTTTTGTACATTTCTATGAATCTCTTTTGAAATAATATATATGCAGATGAATTTTATTGTTTATACCTAAAAAAAATTATAAATCAGTTAAAAAATTTATCTATATGTTAATCTATGTCGAAATAAGATTTTTTATTGATTAAAAAAATATTAATTTAACGAAAACAAAATTAAACATAGGTAAATATACTTACCGATTCAAAGTGATAGATATAAAAAAATATTTTCTTCTTCAGCATTTGAAAAATTTCTGCACTTTGAGGTTGAAGCAGATGAAAAATGAGAGAGTTTTTATCTGTATTTGAATAAACAGATAAGAAAATTTAGCTGATTTTGAAATTTTAAGTTAAAAGTGTTTGATTTTTATTTGTTAACTAAAAAGGTAGTATAATCTTTTAAACAAAACAATAGTTTGTAATTGTATAACATACTTAAGGATGCCTTTGTCTTTTAACATCCAAAAGGCCATTGTGATTATATACAATTGTTGAAAATCCAGAGTAAAAATTAAGGGGTTTGACTAAGCTAAACTTAAAAGTATCCCTAAAATATGGGTAGCTAGGTCTATCTTGCCTATGAAGGAAAAAAGTGTCATTTTTTTTTTTTTTTTGCAATAGTCAGATTTGTGTTTAGGATAAATGATTTGGTGGGACAGTCATACCATCCTACATAGTGTGATCGTCGAATGGGGAGTCATCATCTCAACGGATAGCCCACCCTCACCCAATGAGGTGAGGCCACCGACCAAAGTTTTTCTCAGTATTTAGAGTTGCGCCATGAGATTTATTTTATCGGTGTTCTAAAAAAATTGTCCAGGTTAGGCACCACTTGGGCTCAAAAACTCAGGCAAAACACCTTGTTTCATCTCTAGACTTTTTTTCAGATTTCTAAACGATTGAATTTTTTTCTTCATTTCTTTCATCTTCAGTAGGCTCACTTTATTAGTTTTTTTTTTTTTTCAAAAGTCTTTTATTTGACTTTAGCTTATTAATTATTTTTGTAAAAAAAATCATTTGACTTTAATTTCAAACATTTAAAAGATTTTATCTGTACAAAAGTTAAAAATGAATTTATCTAAATAATTAAATTTGATTTAAGTTTTGGTGTTATCTACATTATGTAATTATGATCTTGAAACTCATTTTATTACAAACTCTAAAAGCATGTATGAAGTTCCTATAACTCTATTAAGTAGGACTTGTCTCGTTAAAAATTGAAACCATAATTATTTTTTTAATTTTTGCATTTCAAAAACTTGAAAATTGTATAATTGACTAATAGTATGAGTTATCAAGTAAATATTGTATTTTATAATTTTTGATGTTTAATATGTAATATTTTAATTCTTAAATAATTCTTAAAATGATTAAAAATTTAAAATAATATTATAAATAAGAAAATATTTTTTTACGTCTAAGCCTTGCTTAGACTAGTAAAACTTGAAGCTTCGGCTCCATGTCTAGCCAGGCTTTACGTTTTCTAAAATGTTGAATTTTACGCATCCCTCCTTTATTTATTCACAGGATTGTTGTCTTCACATAGTTGCGACTACTACAATGTGCGACTTGTCATGAAGTAGGAAAGAGGAAATACTGTTCCTATGTAGGGACTAACCAAATAGAGAGAAGTGTTTTTGCTTTAGCCTCGAATGTGGATTATTTTTGAATAGGTTAAGCTTGAAATAAATTATAGATCTTTTTAGTCAAAACATGAAGATTGTATGAGTTTTGTTTTTCTTTTTCCACGTGATGACAAATTTGACACACTTATAACCATTCTATTTAAGGGGGGTAATGTTGTTATCCTTGCAGTAATTTATCCTGCTTCATTTGTCTAAATAAAATATCTTGATTATGTGTAAGAAGAAATCAGAAAGTAAAGATAGTTAATAAAGTGAATCAAGAAACTACGTGTAATACTATTCATGGATCTTA